GTTCATTGCAATCCTCTGGTCCCAGCCAAGCGGCCTTTCTGGTCAACAAGGTTATTATAGACCCAGCCAAGGTAACATTCCCGCCTCCTGCATTCCCACCCCAAAAAAGGCTGAGAGGTGCTATTTCAATCCACCTGTAGAAGTAGAGTTTTTATTCACACCCAGTAACTCTGGTTGTGGTTCAAGGAGCTACTGAGAGATGCAGGCTGCAACACCCCAAGATGACACTTTTGGACAGTATGCTAAATGCCTTGACCTCATAGGGAGAAAACTTTTCTCCATGACAAGCTCCGATTCAGAACTGCTAACCACTAGATCCTATTCGCATAATTGGTGAAATAGTATTTTGCTACGTTGTTGAACTTCAAAGACCCATTCTCTCAGGAGAATAGAGCCCAATTCCAGAACTTAATTGATAAGGGTGGAATAACTGAACAAGAAGACAAAGATCCCCAGAGTTATTCTGGGTAACCGTGAAAAGACTTTTGGAAACTGGCAGATCACTACATCTCTGCTATCATTTTAGATTTACAAACTTTGACTCACCTGTTGATATATTTTACCTGCTTTAATCCATCAATAACTCATATTTCTTTTCTTAGCTAATAAATCTTTAGTTAGTTTTACTAGAGAATTGGTTGCCAGCATTGTCTTTCATGTGAGATCTAGAGTACCAAATTGATCTGGGGTAAGTGACTGCTCGGGATTGGGAGTAATCTAATGTAATATGATTTTTGGTTTTAATAACCTTTTATCACAAAGTTCAGTTTGTCTGGGTGGCAAGATAGGCTGGAGGGTCTAAGGGGACTGTCTGTGACTCCATGATAAGACTGGTATAGTGATCCAGGAGTTCACATTTGTTACTGGAATGGTGAAATCTAATGATAGAATATACCAGCAGTTTGGGATATCTCCCCTTGTTTTTTGAAAGTCTGCCCTGAGATGGGCACTCTCAGTTGTGAGCCACTCCAGACAGCATGACAGTGGGTATGAACTGTTGAGGTTCTCCTGTGCTCCCATCCCATCCCTAAGGGCTCATTCAGCTGCCCTGGACTGGATTTATGAATCTGACAGGCTAAGAACTGATGCCAGGTTCGGAGAATCTCATGGGATGGGAGGGTACTATACTCATCTCAGTTCTGTTGATTTTGAAATTCATGGATCTGAAGACTTCTTTGCTACACAGCCTCTGTAGGAGATATGGTGTCACAGGATCCATCTGATACTCCAATAAGGACCACCTATAGACCCTTGAATGCAAAGACAACAGGATACCTGGAATCCTTCAGAGAATTAAAAGGCGCATTGCAGAGAAGATACAAAGTGCTGTATGTCCTATTTCAGATTTAGAGCTTGATGTGACAGGCTATGAGAACCACTTTGATATTCCTTGAATCAGACATCATAAACATGCTGATGGATCTGTGCCTCTGATCTCTCATAGGAGGAAATTTTGTTAGCATATTATTGGTCTCTGGGTTACCTACCTTCAGTTATAATTAGTTTGTGGTTCTAAGCCAGGAAGGAGACTTTCCAGGTGTGCTTCTGGCTCCACTATGGAAGACAAAGTGTCTGGGTTTGGGTAGTGTCTTTGGTAGTCCCTTTTATGTGTAGTAGAAACACAGAGGGGCACTCATCCTTAGCTTTACTAAGCCTTCTTTGGAACCAAGGACCACATGGGTTCAATGGAGCATTTGGCCCAGCATCTCATAAGGTCTCAGTATACGTAGCTTTGATTTCTCCAGTCTTGGCAGGAACAGTTGCTCCTAATGATTGAGACAGCCATCATCTACACCTAATGGTGTATGAGGTTTGTTTCCTGGCCACAATGTGAATGAGTTTTGCTACCTATCATATAATGTGGACAGTGAGGTTCATTGTATTTGGCTCTGGGTTCCAGAGACAGAGCGCTTTCTAATTTTCAGAAGTGAAAAAGTAATTCTAATTTTCAGAAGTGAGTCCCCTTCTGTACCTTAGTCACGTTTGTCTCTTTACACATACCTGTGGAGTCAGAGTTGACCTCTGTCAATAAAACTAAACTGTACCTTACCCCTTGGTCTTTCTATGGCAGCAGGTATTCCATTAAATTCCTGGCTGTCATAATTATTCTTCCTGAATGGTTGGGCGTCTCTTTGTGTGTAGATCTGAACCTCAATAGAGTGTCCACATAGTTCTCCCCTAATAATTTGCATAAACAAGGCTATTTTCGTACTATTTAGAAGACGTGTGGTCACTGAAGCCTTGATATATTCCAGACCTCGAAACTTTCCTAAAATGCACAGTTTCCTTACTGGTGCAGTTACATGATAGCTCTAATACCAGGCTATATCTGTGGCCTCAGCATGGCTCTTCATTACTTTACCAGTTTTTATTGACATTAGGAACACCTGAGCCACAATGTCTCAGTACATTTCAGATGCTTTATTTCGTAAGATGGGGGAGAACATGTCCTCCAGGGAGTTCCCTTATTTTCCTGCCACATACAGTAATAGTCCTAGAAGGTATAAGGGATTATTCACCTTGATTTCCATCCACTCCAAGGTTTTTTATCTCAGTGGGAGATGTGGCTCCACATAAAGGTACCAGAGTTGAGAGCTGTTTCTCTGACTTGCATGGCTTTTCTCCCCTCATAAAATCTGAATCTGTTTTAATTCTGATGGACAACAGTATGGGAATGTATTACACAGACCACCAAAGAGGGGTTTGCTTTAGTCCAGCTGTTCTCAAACTGTGGGTCCAGGACCCCAAAGTGGGTCGCGACCCTGTTTTAATGAGGTCGCCAGGGCTGGCATTAGACTTGCTGGGGCCTGGGGCTGAAGCCCAAGCCCACTGCCCAGGGCCAGGGCCAAAGCCCAAAGGCTTCAGCCCTGAGTGGCAGGGCTCAGGTTACAGGCCCCCCCCCCCCACCTGGGGCTGAAGCCTTTTGGCTTTGGGCCCCCTGCCCGGGGTGGTGGGCTCGGGCAGGCTCAGGTCTTGGTCACTCCTCCTGGGGTTGTGTAGTCATTTTTGTGCTCGGAAAGTGGTCGCGGTGCAATGAAGTTTGAGAACCTCTGCTCTAGTCAGTTGTATCCAGGAAATTTCCTGTTCATACAGTTCAGTGTCGTCATTGGATGTCTCCAATATCTCATCTACCAAGGAAAAATGATGTATTGATAGCATATTTGAAAAGAGTTTTTCACTCAATAGTACAAGTGCAAGGGGTCTATTGTGTATTCTCTTGTTCTACAGGTGGGGTAAATATCCCTGGGAAAAGGTTTGAGGTACTCTGCTTGTGTATGGTTCTGATCCAAAGACAAGCAAGTCGTAACATCAATATTGCACTTTCTTCCTACACCAAGAGCAGGAACTTGTTACGAGGTTTTTTGAATATTGGTCCAATTGGTACCAAGTTGATGTCATTAGCTATGATTCGAGATGGGCAATTTTGTCATCAGTATCATGGTGTATGCTATTAATATCCATAAAGTCCTGCTTTCCAAACAGCTGGGTCTACTGCCTGTGAGATAAGGCAGGAATCTTCACCGAGGTTCATAGTTTCTCTGGTCAACACCTTGACTCTAGATTGCTTAGTTTCTTGATTGTTATGCTGAGGTCTAACAGAAAAACAAGAGTTTGTGATCAGTCGAACCTGCTGTGTCTTGAAAGAGATCTCTCATCTGGGCAGTGGACCTGATTAAGTCCTTGGTGGTTGTTTTAGACTGTTTAAATGAAGATGCCATTCTTGATAGCTTAGCCATTAGGCATGTATCTCAGTAACTATCTCCTTCAAGTTGCATTTTTACTGAACAAGTGGTCCTGCTCACATCTCTGTCCCAACAGTCTAAAGTGTCTGAGATTTCCATTTCTCTCAGACCTCTGAAGTGTCTGTATGTTCCTGGGCCTCCTTACCTGTCTCCCTGAACGTAATCATACATTTGCATATTCAGAGCTTATCTACAAGTTTCTCCCATCACTTGGCGAAATGGAGCTTAACTGAGGAGCCAATCCATCAAGGTCCAAAGATTGTCCATTTATCACACTATGTCAATCACAGCTAATGTGATCTGACAGGGCTTTATCTTCCTGGAATTCAGTCCTCATCCATGGCATGCTGTCATGTTGTCTTAATCACATCACGTTGTATGACTGATACTGCAGATATGTGTGTGTTGGGAAAATTTTTCCTTCATTAAGACTTCTTTTGGGAGAGCAAGATCAGTCACTTCTATTCACTCTTGTCCTAGCATCCAGAGCTGATTTTTCTTTGACAGTGCTGCTGTGCTTTTTTACCTAAAACTCCTCAGCCCACCTTCCTGAGGGTTGTACTGCTTGCTAAGTCCCCACAAGTGGGAATCTACACAGGCCGCTTGAGGAAATGAAGGTTACATACCCTGTAATCAGAGTTCTTTCAGATGAGACTCTGCCTATTAACAGTCCCTGCCCACCTTCCGTACTTCTTCAGAATTCCCGAATTAGTGGAAGGAACTGACTGGTGGTTGGAGCCACTCACCCTTTTGTACACTCAGAACCTTTCAATATGCAAGGGAGCAGGAGGGGGTGAGTGGGCCCCAATGGTGACTGCTTTTGAGAAGGTTCTGGAAGCTCATGGCATTGGTGCCATGATCCCAGAAGTGAATGTGAAGAGGTTCATCTCGAAGAACTCTGTTTACAGGTAAGTAACCTTCATTTTCCTTGTGTTCATGGTTTTGAGTTGTAGAACAAGTGGATTTAGCAACCTTCACTGTTTGCAAACCATTTTTTATGGGTATACATGTGGTTTATTTTCTTTGCCTATCTTAACCTTAGTGAGGTGCTAGCTTTTATAAATGAATGTTTTTAAAACTGTTTGAGATGCTTTCCTGAAAGCCATAATAGAAGTGCATATTGCTATTTCGTATTACTACAGCAAATGTGGTAAAAAATAATGAATTTATATAAGCAGCTTCGTAAATAGTTAAATTAGTGTTAGTTATTTTGCTTTCCAATTTATAGTAATTTTCAAATCTTCTTAATATTTCCAGACCCTTGGACTTGAGATTGAAATTGATTGTTTGCCTGCAAAAACTAGATCAAAATCATGCTGATATAATGAAGGTAAGTGTAATGTCATGTTGATCTGGAACGAGGATCTAAACTCTCAGGATTTTATTCCTACTTTGAAGATGGGACTTGAATTCCCCCCCAGTGTCATTTGAGGAACTGTTTTAATTGTATTTACATAAAGAATCTCAAGGTAATGTGTTGTTGGAATAATTATATTTACGTGATATAAAAGTAGGCAAAGGAAGATAAAAATAGAATCTCTGCTTAACATATCTGGGCACGTTTCTATACTTGCAATGGTGTTGTGCAGCTGAGTCCTTTCCAATCAGTGAAATAGCTTCTTGTAGCTCCCCATTTAGTATTATGTGACAAAATGGCCGGTGTTGGTATGGTGCGTTCCACGCTTTTCTTGGCAGGGGGCTAAGATGCCACCTCTTGCCCCTGCTCTTGGGGCGCCGAGGGCCCTGCTAGTGGCCCGGGAAGGTGGTGGGGAAGGGGTCTGAGTTTGCGCCTCACTCTGAGCCCCAGCCCCTCTCAACCCCTGCAGGTTTCTTACTCTCTTCCCCCTTGGGTAGGGCTACCCTCGGTCCTTGATGCTGGGGGAGGGAGTCTGCCTGCCCCGTTGGGGCAGGGTCTCCCTTCCTCTTGTTCTCTGGTCTTTAAATTGTCAGCAACACACCTCCAAACTTGAGTCCTCTCTCCTTCCTCACACACCCTGACTGCCTGAAGCAGGGGGTTTTATTAGGTTCCTGACAGGGTCTTAATTGACTACAGGTGCTCCAATTAACCTGTAGCAACCCTCCCTAGTCTATGGGAAACCCTGCCTTAATTAGCCTAGGGTTTATATATTTCCCCTCTACCACTCTCCCACTGCTCCCTGGCCCTGCTGTATCATAATTATCATAGAAGGCACATCTAGAGAGAGAGCATTAATATTAAAAGGGTGGTTGTACAGAGATACTGAAATTAAATAGTAATCCTTTTTGTTGCCTCAGTCTGCTTTACTTAAATATTCATAATTAAGTCTTTACCTTTTGCTTTGGCAGAATGAATGCGCAGATTTATAAAGTATTTAAATTTTGTATCTTTTGTAGTTCGTTACCCAAATGTTTCTAAAATGTATAATTTTACTTAAAGGTGATCTACAAAAAACTTAACAAGTTGGAGTTGCCTTTTTTTGCTGCTTTTGCCTGGATAATTACTCCCTGCTTGCTGTCCTTCCTAACCCTGTGAACTCTGTTTGTATTTCTAAAAGCAAGCAATGCCAAGTCTGCTCTTTCCTGGTGTTGCTGGTGGACTCTTGTTTCAGAAATGTAGTGTGGGCTCTTACTTTAATTGACAGAGTAGATACATTGACTCTACAATAATACATCCTTTTTCCCCATGTGTTAGGAATTCGAGTTAAATAGGAGTCGACAAGGTTTTAAACTGGCTGGCTGGAAATCCCTTACCCTCTGTTATTTATCTGTAACTCTTTTAATGTCATAACTTCACTATTCTCCAGTACTATGGCATTTTCCAGGATAGACAAGAACTGAATTTTAATGTTTTTTTTTTTTTTTTAAAGTTTTGACAACTTTTCAGACTTCCTTTATCATAGAGAGGCAAGCCCATTCTCTTTTTTGTAGGTCATATTTTTAAACCTTAGTTTCAATGGTGTTTGAAATTTTCTAGGTTTTTAATGATCCTATTCACGGCCATATTGAAATACATCCTCTCCTCGTTCGAATCATTGACACTCCTCAGTTTCAACGCCTGCGATATATAAAACAGCTGGGAGGCACTTACTATGTTTTCCCAGGAGCATCGCACAACCGCTTTGAACACTCCTTGGGGTAAGGCAATATTCTCGTGCATATAAATCTCCTCCATTTTGATTTCTCTGCCAAGGTTATCTTCCTTTCCACCAATCTGGAGTGACTGTAAGGCTGGTCTGGTGTATTGTGTCTAAAATGCTAGTTTTAAGTTCCAACTAAACAATGAGTATACACTGTCTGAATTGTTACTTGAGGTTTATTTCTAGAGGTGGGCAACAAAAATTACTATAGGCTTTGAGAAACTTCTGTCTGAGAGTGAAAAGATGGTGGTACTTCAGTTTAGAGATGAGAGGATATGATAGAGGTAATAATATAATATGTAGAGAAGGTAGATCATGCATTAATCCGTCCCTTTTTTCATAACCAGAATAAGGGGTCATTCAATGAGATTGAATAACAAATGTAAAGTTGATAAAAAGAAATATTCTTCTATAATGCATAATTAACCTATGAAACTCATTGCCGCAATATATAATTAGGGCCAAGAGGTCAGAAGAATTAAAAAATGGTTAGGTATTCCTGTGGATAATGAGAACGTCTACAGTTGCATAAAATAGGATTCAAAATAAGGGATATAAACTCATGCTCCGGGGCATAAGCCAATCAATAACTGATTTGTGTTAGGAAGGAACTTCCATAATCAGGTTATTCCCTAGTTGTCCACAGTGATTTTTTTTTTTTTTTTTTTTTGGGTGTATCCTCTGAGGCATCTGGTTACTGGCCATCGTCAGGGTACTGGATTGGATGGACTGGTGTAAACAATTCCAGTCTCTCTCTGGAGGTTGGAGGAGTTGAAGGAAATAAGGGCAGTGATCCAAGCAGGAGCAAGCTTGTGCAGGGACTTGAAAATGAGGAAAAGGACTTTGACTTTGTGGTAGGCGACGGAAGCCATTGAAAGGGTTTGAGTTGGAGTTACAAGAGGAAGATGACTTTGGTAGCAGAAATTTTGACTGACTAAAGTGGGAAGAGGGGAGAATAAAGTCCAAAGAGGAGATTACTGTAATCAAAGTGTATTCTTATGAGGTCGGGATGGAATTCTTGAGGTGAGGACTCCTTGGATGTGAAATCTGTTGCTTGTTTCCTTCAAATACTTTTTTCCATGGTATAGGTTTTAAAAAGGGAAGTAGCTAGCTTCCATAACTGGACTGAAGTTTAGGTTTTGAGCATCTGTTGCTGCTCTCTACTGCACTAGAGCTATGGTTTACAATAGCCAAGGCAGAATTGAATTGGCAATTTCTCTTGTTTGTTTACTAAACCTCAAATTATTAACTTTATCTCATATTTTCTGTCTGGAACAGGGTAGGCTATCTGGCAGGATGTCTAGTCCGGGCATTACACGAAAGACAGCCAGAGTTGGAAATAAGCCAGCGAGATATTCTCTGTGTTCAGATTGCTGGACTTTGTCACGATTTGGGTAAGCAGCTCTTTAGAACAGTTGTTTGGTAGCTTAAGTGGTTGCTGGGTGTGACGGAATGCATCCATGAATTCATCCCCTACATGCTATATCTTCGTACAAGGTATGTGGGTATGATTTAAAAACTCATAATTTGCTTCTCAGTATTGTCCTAATAAAATGTGTGGTAATGCTGTATGTGAAGTTATAAGATTCAGCTGTATGATGTTGTTAAGACCTGTTCCAAACCACACAGCCCTGTCCAAGCAGAAGTTGGCAAATAGGTCTGTCCTAAACAAAGGAATGTGTGCTTGCCTTAATTTGCATTTAAGCAGTAAACAGAGACTCCAAGCAGGAAGGGAAAACAAAGAAAGCTCAAACAGGTGGGGGGAAAAAAAAAGCAGGGATCATCGTTCCACATAGACATTTTGTCTCTTGGTTCTCAGCTGGAAATGTTTTTCAAGAGGGTAATTGCAACTATAAAAAGCAAGGGAAAACACCCCAAGACACCCTCCCTCTGTCTGTCTCTGGCATCACACCTAAGAAGACAAAGGAAAATAGCCATTGGACTCAGGGAAGGGGAGAGGTCCTGACCTGAAGAGTTTGGTCAGTAACTTTGCTGGAACATGTGATGAGAAGTTTTGCTTGAATCTAATATAGTTTGTTAGGCACTAGTAAGCATTTTGTCTTTATTTTTCTTTTAACCATTTCTGACTTTTATGTCTTATTACTTGTACTCTTAAAATCTATCTCTTTGTAGTTAATACACTTTTTTATTGTTTTATCTAATCACAGTGTTTAAGTTGAAGTGTCTGGGTAACTCTATTTAAAGTAATAAATTGGCATATTATTCCCTTAAAAGAGTAACAAACTTAATATATTTGTACTGCCCAGGAGAGGGCTGGGCAGTACAACCATACATGTTTGGGTAAAAATCTGGGCCTGGGAGAGTGTTGGTGTCACCGTGCAGTATAAACAAAGCTGGTGAGAGCCAGGGTGTAACTGGCAAGCTGAAGTTACACACAGACACTGAGGGTGTTTCTGGAAGGCTGTTTGTGAGTTGTCTAGGTGGGAGCTACTACCAGTAAGGTATTGTAAGGCACCCAAGGTTGCAGGGCAGAGGTGACACAGCTCCCCACTGGTTTGAATTGTACCCTGGTATGTCACACTGGGTCACTGTCCACCCCTTCAAATTATTATTGAAATTTGGTATGTGTGATTCTTCCATGGATGGTTTGAATGTCTCTATTCCTTCAGAGAGACACGGTGGTGAGGTAATATCTTTTATTTGATCAACTTCTGTTGATAAGCGAGACAAACTTTTGAGCTTACACAGAGCTCTGAAGTGACCTGAAGAAGAGCTATGTGTAAGCTCAAAAGCTTGTCTCTCTCACCAACAGAAGTTGGTCCAATAAAAGATATTACCTCACTCACCTTGTATGTCTTAATATTCTGGGATCAACATAGCTGCAACATTCTATATCCCTTCTGACTTATCTAGTAACATTTCAAAGTGAAAGTGTTTAATAATAATAATTAATTAATAGGTATATCTCCATATATTATTATCTCCTAGAACTGGAAGGGACCTTGAAAGGTCATCGAGTCCAGCCCCCTGCCTTCACTAGCAGGACCAAGTACTGATTTTGCCCCAGATCCTTAAGTGGCCCCCTCAAGGATTGAACTCTCAACCCTGGGTTTAGCAGGCCAATGCTCAAACCACTGAGCTATCCCTCCCCCAAAAAGTAATAACTATTAATTGCTTTCCAGATGTTTAATACATCTTTAAATTTTACGCTGCTCATCCACTGCATTGCTGACACAGAGCACTTCCTGTGCGCTCAGCAGTACTGGAGCTCACGTGCAGCACTGGATATTAGCTCTGGGTTTATTGAGTTGAAGCAGTGATTAGCCAGAACACTGCAGTTTTCCTGACGCTTCTTGGAAAGTGTGCTAGGATCTTTGATTTCCACTTGGACAGAAGGGAGAGAGGATGAAGATGGACAGAAGGACCTTTAGTTTAATCTCCTATCTGAAGAACAGTCCCTGTAAAGTTGCTGTATCCATTCTTACTCCAACGTCTGCGTTCGTATTGTGTACTTACTGCATTTGAATCTTATTCTCCCATTCTGTGAAGAGCAGTACAATGAAATGAGAGAATACAAATTCACACAGTTCCTACTTACATTTTTGCTGACAAACATGTTTCAGATTAAGCCTGTACACTCTTATTTTTAAGGTCATGGACCATTTTCACACATGTTTGATGGAAGATTTATTCCACTTGCTCGCCCAGATCTGAAATGGAAGGCAAGTATTTTACACCGAGAACAATATGCAAGTGAAATATGCCACTTAAATATTTTTTGAAAGGAAAAGGCAATTCACCTTTAAATATATGAGCGGCCAATAGTGCCTGCTTTTGTGAGCAGACAGTGGTGTTCTAATCTGAGTGACAAGCATATTTACCTTGATTAAATTTCAAAAAAGCTTTCTCTCTTCCAATCATGGTGATACCCTGGGTGTTTTTATTCTGTCTCATAATATCCAAGCTGGGGAGGAGCAGAAGGAATTTTCCTTTTCTTTGCACATACTCCTGGCCGTTCGTTGTTCACGTGAGCCTGGGGCAAGAGGGACTGAGAGGAGCATTGGGGGCAGTTCCAAGTTGGCATAGTCCCTTAATATATATGGGGTAGCTTTGCCCACATCCCAGATTTTATAGGCATAAAATATTAACTGTAGACAGAAATCTAATATAAAAAGGTAAAAGTATGTTCAAAATTTAGATTTCAATTTTTTTTAAATTGAAAGGTTTTCTAGTACTGTTTGGAATTTTTTTTAAATGTAACAAAAATGTTTCCCTATATTCTCTGCAACCCTCATTGTGCTAATACATGAGAAATGGAAAATTAAGCTAACGGAAAATCAAGATGGTCAATATCAAAATTACCTTTCTTAGTATAGTAACTTTCCCAGCATTGAACCTCCTGGATATTAAAATACATGCTTAACAGCCCAATAGTCAAAATTTGACATACATGCACTGTGGACAAGTTGACATTAGTATGAGAACCTTAACTTTTTGCATTTCTTGAAGACAGCCTGGTCCAGTGGCTAGAACATGTACTTGAAGTTAGTCTATTCCCAGCTCAGACATTTGACTTTGGCTAAATCTGATAGCAGCTTGTGTGTTTTGATAAAGTAACATTTATACATACTTTCTGCAGCATGAAACTGCTTCTGTTCAGATGTTTGAACACCTGATTACTTCCAATGGGCTAGAAAAAGTCATGGAAGATTATGGTTTTGTCCTGAAAGAAGATATGGACTTCATCAAAGAACAAATAGGAGGACCCCTAGATAAAACCCCATGTCGGGGTTTGGTAAGTCAGTTCGCTGCTTCTGTGGAAGTTATTTTAAATGCTCTTCAATTTAAGTGAAATAAAAATATCATTTTTGCTGCTATTCTCATTTTAAGCTCTATCTGTGTAGTTTCTGGGACACTTCCAGGCACTAAAGTTAGGAGGTCAGTGTGAAAAGTTGTCATAACATTACTTTGAGCATGTTCCATCCAAGCATCTCAAAGTGCAGAGTGCATTGTTGTTTGTGGGTTGTTAGCGGTTGGTGGTTTCATTGATATGCTAGGCACTCAAACCTTCAAGAAGTACAGTCCCTGCTCCAAGAAGCTCAAAATCTAAGGCCAGATTGATATGTAGACAGCTACAGGGAAAGGAAATGAGACAGTTTTTGTATACAAGTCAACTTGTTCATGGTAAACAACTTTGTTGAATTGGGTCTTTAATGGGAACTTACATGTGGACAAGGTAGGGGCCTTGATGAGCTTGGAGTTCTGTCATGCATAGGGAGCCCACAAGGAGGTGATTCAGCAAGAGGCTGACAAACAGGTGAACAAGGCTGGAAGTACTAAAGCAGAGGACGCTTGACCAGAGCAAGGGGCAGAATTGTGTAAAATCTTGAATGTGGTGACCAAAAGGAAACTTGATGAAATGGTGATTGGGGAGCCAGTGGAGGGATTCAGAGAAGGGAGTGATGTGATCGAATTAGGCAAGGAAGGAGAGTTTACAATTATTAATCTTCATAACCCAGCGAAACAGCCAAGTCTTATCCTGTTATGCAGATGAAGACACAGAAGTGACTTGCCCAAAGTTATACATTCAATCATTGGCAGAGCTGAAACTAGAATCTAGACATCCTACCAGCATGCTTCTCTGATGACCAGACTGTTCCTTTAAAGGGAAACTGTTCTAGTAGGGGAGATTCCAATCACTGCAGCAAATTACAAAGGCTTACAAAAAAAAACATATACGATAAATGGAAAGCCTCTATCTTGACAGCTTGATACAAAATAGAATTCAAAGATTCAGCTTTGTCGTGACAAACATTGGCGTTTACAGATAATTATTTGTATTACAGTAATTCTTAGAGGCCACCATCAAGATCAGGATTCCCTTGGTAATAGGCAGTATACTGACACTGGTGCCTGCCCCACAGAGCTTATGTTCTAAATAGAAAAAACAGACTGATAAATAGACAACATAAAAGCAAAACATTTTTTAGTTGCATTTCCTTTTTTCAGGATCTTTTTACGGAATTTTAAAGTTGCCATGAAGGATAGTATTTGGTTAAACTCACAAGAAATACTAATACACATGAACCGTGCATCTTACAATAACTGACATTCTCTGATTTTTTTTCCAGTGCTTGGTAATGGCTGACTTCTTGAGTGCATCTGGCCCTAGACTGAAGGGTGCACATTTTCCAAAATAGTCATCCCTGGCATTTGAACAGTACAGAGAGAATCTCTCTCCTCTTCTTATGGTTGGCAGCTTGTGTCAGAGCTTGGAGGAGCCAGCGGGGACACAAACTGTCATCACTATAAACTTCTATCAAGTGGCTTAAAGCTGCAGATTTTCCTTAATTCCAGTATAACTTGCAAATTAAGCACTCTTGTACCCATTTAATCATGTTAGGGGAGTTTGCTGCTTAAACACCAGCTCTAGATACTAATGTCGCAAGCTCGGTTTCTGAAAGTTAGTTATTTCTTTTTGTCAGATTTTCTTCATTAAATCAGTAGTTTTGATGTATTTATCCATATTGTCATGTGCAAAATCAAAATGTATTTCTGACGTCTATAAACGCATTCTGAAATTGCTGCTGCCCATGAGTTAACCTATTCTGAATAAGCTGTTCTGGTTTTCCAGTGGCCATACCGTGGTCGACCAGAAGAGAAAAGCTTCCTTTATGAGATAGTGGCTAACAAAAGAAATGGCATCGATGTTGACAAATGGGATTACTTTGCCAGGTACAAATCTTCCTGATTTTACTTTTATTATAATCCTAAAAAAAAAATTGTCCAATGCTGCTGCTTTTACTGTAAGTAAAATTTCATTATTGAATGCTTTTAATTTATTCTCTCTGGAATACTTTTAGGGATTGCCATCACTTAGGAATCCAGAATAATTTTGATTATAAGCGCTTCCTTAAATTCGCTCGGGTCTGTGAAGTGAAAAACAAGAAGCATATCTGTACCCGTGACAAGGTAAACTGCATGGGAGAGAACAGAGGATGTTAACTTGTGAAGTATTATACCCTTGTAGCAGCAGTTTGAAAAGCATAACCTGTAATAAAATGAACATGAGGTCAGTGCTGCTCAGCTAATGGAATGCAGCCCTGAAGTGGGTTGCATGCGGGAGCCGGGTGGGTTTGCTAGCGTACTTGTGGAGAAAGGAAAGCAGCAAGAAACTCTGGGTTGATGGGAGCCTGAGGAAGCTGGGCAAGGAATTGAAGAAGCAGCTCATTCCCTCCCCTTTCTCTTGTTGCTTCCAACATTTCCTTCAGAGCCTTTTGTAGTAAAGTGAGTGCACAGACCTGGAGCTGAGCACAATGCAGGGACGGGGGGAGGTGCCTCCAGCATTAGCATCCCACCCCATGCCCCTGAGGGGACACACAAAGTGATGCCACAGTGTTAATTTTTTGGCTGCTTTGAGTCATGAACCAAAAATGGATAAACTGCTGTTTTAGGTAGGGTGCTTAGCAGGAATGGGAGCCAGGAGGAAATAGTCACTGCCCCAGGAGATGCTGTCAAAAGTAACACCAGGTGGGAGGGGTAGGAGCAGCTCCCGCTGCCACTCTTCTCATGGTGGGAAAGGGCTGGATGCGTAGCAGTACTTTAAAGAGGTCTGACTGAGAAGCTGGAGCCCTTGGGGTGGTCTGTCCATCTCACACTGCCAGCCAGCCGGTCACCCTTATATCTAGTACCATGGAAAGCAGTTGGTGAGTTGGCTTTTGGGTGGGATTAAAATCATAGCCAACCAGTCTTGAAGATAGAGAGTAGGTTGGAAGCCACCCACCAGTTGCTACTTTTCTTGTCTCTCTCCCAGCATTGCTACAAGTAGCACAGCTTTGTGAACAAGAGTAGCTGGGAAACAGACATCCCCTTTCCTGCCAAATTATGCCTTGTCTGAGGGGGTGGTATTTCTCCTTGACTTTCTAGGTTCAGGGATCCAGCAAGGATTCCAACCACTCTCAGCAATTCCTTTCAACTAGTTATTCTCAGGGCCATATGTATTCTACCATGCTCGAGCTGTGTAACTTGCGAAATCTACTTGTGCTGCAGAACTTCTTGAATCTAAGATTTCACTTTTAGAAACACAAGTTTTGATTGTTCGTGGCTGAGAAGAGAACTGGTAGTTCAAGCCCTTCCCTACCCAAATTTAGTCATTTCCACCTTTCCCCACATGATGAATTCCTTACCAATGTCAAGAGCATCAGCCAGTTCCCTAGTGCCAAAACCCAGCACCCACACATTCCTGGGTGCCCAAAGCACTCCCAGTACCGACAGCACCGGCACCGACGATGCCAAAAAGCATAGAGCTCCTTAAACACTCGAGCTCTGCCGCAAGTGCTAAGGGGAAAGTTAAACCCCGGGTCTCGGCACCTACAACAGCCAGTAAACCCTCGGCACTGAGTATTTCAGCGCTCATGCTGCCACCTACTGTCGACATTATGAATTTCAGCCAGACACCTGTGAGTACAATCCAGCATACAGTACCGTGTTCCCCATCACACCGGTACCGACCCTGCCTCATCACAGCAACTCCTGCACCACAGAGACTTATCTATCTCATCGGTACCTCAGTCCCCCCTCCTCAGTACCGATGGCGCCTTGATACACAGGGCTCTTTCCCAGCCCAGCTCTCCACAGTTGTCAACACACTGCTATAGTGGGGAGGACGAAGGAGAAGAGGATATGATAGGCTTGCCTCAACATTCATTTCCTGTAATTTAGTCCTGCCACACCGGCACCACCAGCCACTGGCTTCCCTGCAAACTTTACAAACCAACCCTGGTTCAGCCAGCCTTGGATGCCTCCTATGCCATTCCAACCACAATGGCCATTCTGGCAACCGTGGGAACCATACCAACAACAGCAGCAGTGAATACCCAACACTCTGCTCACAACTGGTGCACACCAACCACCTGTGCTGCCTTCACACACATCTCCTAGTGTCCCTGAACAGGGGACCAAAGAACAGGAGGAATTTTCGGACCCAGATGTCATAGTTGACACTCATTTTTCCTCTTTCTCGCCGGGTGACACAATTATGCCTCCTACCACAACAGAGGATTTCAGGCAGTTTCAGGATCTCTACAAGAGAGTGGTGGGTTCCCTTGACATTTCTCTGGAAGAGGTCCAGGAATTGCGCCACAAGTTAGTGGACATACTACATACGTCCACTTCATCCAAAATCGCCCTCCCTGTGAATGAGGTGATTATGGATCCTGTCAAATTACTCTGGCAAACCCGAGCAGCGATTCCACCTACCTGTAAAAGATCTGATAAGAAATATTATGTAACAGCCAAAGGCACTGAATTTCTCTTCTCACATCCAATACCAAATTCGTTGGTTATAGATGCAGTAAATGAAAGGGACAAGCAACAACACCATAGGAATACCCCATACGATAAAGACTGGAAACGACTTGATCTGTTCGGTCGCAAAGCATACTCGGCTGCAACGTTACAATTGAGAATTGCCAATTCTGAGGCCCTGTTGGCAAAATACGATCACAATAACTACACCAGCCTTTCTGAATTTACAAACTTTATTCCTGAAGACAAAAGAGAGCAGTACAAAGCCATCATTATGGAGGGTCACCTCATCACTAGAACAGTGCTTCAAGCCGCCCTCGACTCTGCTGATTCCACAGCAAGATCCGTAGTCATAGCGGTCGTTATGAGGAGAGCTTCCTGGCTTCACCTGTCTGGCTTTCCAAAGCCAGTACAGTCCATTGTAGAGGACTTACTTTTTGAAGGTGCCAAGCTCTTCGCAGACAAGACGGACGAGTGATTACGCACACTGAAAGACTCCAGGGCCACTTTACGATCCCTAGGTACCCACACATCTAGGAACAAGAGACAACAAACCAATTACCAAACTCAGCAGCGATTCCGAACCCCTTCATACACTCAGCGCAACAGGTTCTACGACCAGCAGAGCCGCAGACAGAAAACACTCAGGAGAAGGCAATCTGCCTCCTCGACTACTGCTTCCCAGCCATCAACCTCCAGACAGGGGATTTGAAGTCTTGGTCGAGGGCTCGAGAACCCCATCGCTCTCAATGCTGGCACCATCTCCCAATGGCAAAATCTTTGGAGATCGCCTAATCCCATTTTACCCCATCTGGAATTCCATCACCAAGGACAGATGGGTATTGGAAATAATCAAAACTGGTTATTCCATCCCCCTTACCTCCAAACCTCCTACCCATCCCCCTTCCATCTTATATCCCTGGGAGCTGTGGAATCCGTACCAGCTGAGTACAGAGGGAAAGGATTCTATTCTTACTACTGCCTCATGCAGAAAAAGACAGGAGGTTGGAGACCTATTCTAGACTTAAGGCGACTCAACAAATTTATAAAAATACAAAGATTCAAAATGTTCATGCTAAGCACCATAATCCCAGCATTAGAGAGGGAGGACTGCTTCTTAGCCCTTGACCTCCAGGACATGTATTTTCACACATCCATCCACCCATCGCATTGGAAATTTCTGCGATTTATAATAGCACAGGACTATTTTCAGTACAAAGTCCTACCCTTTGGCCTTTCCACTGCGCCAACGGTATTTTTCAAAGTACTCGCCATAGTAGCGGCCCACCTACGCAGAGAGGGCATAATGATATTCCCGTACTTGGACGACTGCCTGCTGAAAGCACTAACACTGCAGACAGCCATACAGACCACCCAACTTACGATCCATCTCTTTACCTCCTTAGGTCTTCAAATAAACTTTCAAAAGTCAACCCTAACACCAGTCCAGCGCCTCAGATTCATTGGGGCGGACCTCCACTCCCTCGAAGCAACTTCTTCCCTTCTGTAGCTGGGTGGTCACCCACTCCTGCCTTAAAAGGCTTAAAACAGCCTGGGGAGAGGGCTGTGGCAGGGAAGGAAAAGTGGGGCTGATTGGGGGAAGCAGCCTCAGCTGGGGGCCACGCCCCAATCAGGCCACGGCTGGCTTAATGAGGGCCCAGGTGGCCCTTATAAGAGGGCTGGGGCCAGAAGCCAGAGACAGTCTCTCTCTAGCTTCTTGAGGGAGAAGGGCCTGGCTGCCTGGGAGGTGACAAAAGATATCTAGAGTGGAGCAGGGCGGGGGAGTTCCAGCCTGGAAAACCCCCAGGCTGCAGGCCTTGTTAAAGGCCAAAGAAGCGTACTGGGGTTGCAGAGGGCAGCCCAAGGGTAGGCAGAGGAAGCAGGTCCAAACCCCCTTTGCCGGTGATGAGTGGCACCTACGCTGCAGTCTGCCCCAGGGAATGGGGGGTAGGTGATGACTGGCAGTGGCCATAGATTGAGGCGAGGTGGGGATAGAGGATGGGGGTTCCCCGGAGAGGGGAGACCCAGACCTGTGGGGGTACTGCCAGGGGGCAGCACCCTGGCATGAGAGGGGCACCGGGGTCCAGGAGGGACTTGGGCCTAGCGGCAAGCGGGACACCGGCTTGCAGAGGGCGCTCCTCGGTCGAAGAGCTAATTCCCAGGACGTCCGACAGGCGGCGCCGCACCGGTGAGTCCAGCCCTGAGACACCTTCCAATAAAATGCTTTCAGACTCTAGCCACCTTAGTCTCAACAGCACGGAACAGACCGCAGGTTTCTGCCAGGACGTGCCTACAGCTTCTAGGCCATATGGCCGCTATGACCTGTGTCGTCCATCACGCAAGGTTACACATGCGCTATCTTCAAGCCTGGCTACGGACACAGTACGTCCCTCACAGGCACAGCATGCACAAACTCCTCACCATGCCCAATGCTGTCAAGGATTCCCTGTTATGGTGGACCAACCCAGTCAACATCTGCACTGGAATGCCCTTCATACAGAATCCGCCTGCCATTACCATTACTACGGACATGTCCCTCCTAGGCTGGGGGGCACACCTACAGACTCATTCTATACAGGCCTGCTGGTCTACAGCGGAGTCCCAACTTCACATCAATCTGCTGGAACTTTGCGCGGTTCGCAATGCCTGCTCACACTTCCTGCCAT